ATTTATAATTCTAAAATACAGAAAGAGCCTGGGAACTGTGTGACATCGATGTTGGTACCGCCATTTGGAGTTCCACATGGCGTTACAACCCAGAAGATCAAAAGCGACATCTTCTCGGCCGTGAGAAACCGAGTTCAGAATTGCACATCTTCTTAATGCCACTAGAAAACAGGCCAAGCATTAAGTGAGCATTTGTATGTAGATACGTATGAAATTATATGTTAGAGGAGAAGCAGGCCACAGCAGAGGCGAACAAGTTCTAATCTCGACCAAGACAATACGGATGATAAAAAGAGAAGACCAATTACGGAAAATACCGCATGTTTCCATAATAGAGTAACCTCGTTACATTACTGTTTAGTGTCCTGGTTCCCAGATCAGAAGTATATCTTCTGGTACCTCAGAATTAAGAATTTAAATTTGGATGAACGATATTACGATCAGCCTAAAATACACATGAATCATGAAATTCAATTATAAGACTTTATTAATTAATTACAATTTGAAATTTGTCTTGTTTAAGAAGATTTGCACTTTCGTATTGTATTGAAAAATGTCATTGTTTCTAAAGATGGAGTAACTTCAAAGCCATATGCATCGAATATTTTTATTGACTCTTGAAATCAATCATAATTAGAAGAAAACACAAAAAGAAGGAAAATAAGCATGATAAACAAGAAAGATAAAAAGGCAGAAATTAAAAAGTAGAATACATTAATAATTTGGACTTGGGAAATAGTAACGAAGCCAAAACATTTCCCCTAATATATTTCAATCATTCTATAAAGTAATTTGAATCATTTATCAGTCTTACCATTTATTAATTTGTTCTCTTTGTTAAATCACTCATTTTATCATTTAATTATTAACTAATGTTATTTATTCTATTAATACATATTATTTGTCCGTCCTCCATTCATTTTATTTACTTATCAAATATCAGAGTTCTCACAATGTTACTGAGGGGAAATTCGACAGATGTTTACATTTCTTATCAGTCGTTCTTTCCTAAAATCTTATCGTAGTCTTGATTAACTGCTGCAGAAAATAATTATTGTCTCTAAACAAAAATATAATTATCTTTACAGTATAATCTACTGTGATTACTCGTGGTTGAAAATATTTCTTTATGTACGAATATAAATAGCAGTTGGTCCCTCCTCAGGTTACGTTCGCCATATATTTGTCATACTCTAAAACGTATCATAATACAGGAAAAATATAAGAAAATATGAACAGTATCACGAAGTTACAGTGCAACGTCCCTTCCTCGTCTTCTAGAGAGCTCCATAGTGTATGTCCTGAAGATGACAATTCATTACAGAACTTATCTTTAATCAACATTTGTTGTCTTTCCTGTGGATGGTATAAATATATATGTAAGTCTTAAGCGAGAAACTTTCCATGTGAAAAATTTCACTCTAAAATTAATGTCCGCTTCATTCAAAGACTGATACTGTACTTTATTGATTATCATAGAAAAATACAATATAACGGAAATCTTCAAACAAACCCAGGCTGGTAGTCAGACGGTATTAGTACTATTCTAGGAATAAAATAAAAAACAATTTATCTTTTGCTTATTCTGTTAAAATTGTGACATCAAATACGTTATTTCTGAATTGTTTAACCTGCAACTTTTCCGTTGTATAATTTTAGTTCATAATCTTCTTCTTATCGACAGTTTATGCTGTAGGAGCACACTAATTCATAGATTGATAACTTTAATTAAAGAGATAGCTTATCATTATAGCTCAGAAAGTCCGCCACCAGTCCATATCCTGAGTCACAAGAATCCTGTCTACAAATTCTGAACTTATTTCCTTAATATCAATTTCAATATTATCCTTATATTACGACTTCCGTGTGGTATACTCTATTCAGGTTTCCCAAACCAAAAATTTGTATTAATTTGTCAACTACTCCATGCGTGCTACGTGCCCTATCAACCTCACGCGTCTTGATTGATCATTCTTGTAATAGAGCCTAATTCATGAAGCGAGCATATAAAATTCTTCAATGAGCAGATTCCTTAAGTCTGTTATTACTTCATTATTCTTAAGTAGAAGTATTCTCCTCAGCATCCTCTTCTCAAACACCTTCTCAGTCTGTATTCTTCTCAGGACGGATAGAACATGCACACAAACAATTGATTTTTATATAAAATTATTAATTTATTTGTTAATTGTTTTATTTAGAGTTATTTAAAGATGTATCACATCTAAAACTTCTTGACGATGGTGAAGAGTCAATTGAATAAAAATTTACAGATGGTTCTCAATCTGCACACGTAAAAACTGTCGAATGACATGGTAATTGTGAACATTGAACATGAGAGCGTAATAAAGAAAAAGACTATGTTCTGTTCAAAGCCATAAGAAGCCTCATTTAAGATAGAAAGTTATCACAGATTCAAGGTAGGGACCTCGGTTGATAACCACCACACCAACACACATTTACAAATCGATCTATGTTCAGACACTTTCCTTTGTGCAAAAAAGGGTTACTCATTGCTAATAACATAACCGTTTTAACTTTCCCCCGTGTCTCGATGACCAGAAGTCAATCTGGTTCACTACATCAGAAACCGCAGGTTTGTCACTCAGTCTGGTGCCCACACTTCGTAAAAAACAACTGCCGCTCGAAAAACACCTGACCTTTTGAGCTGTTTCATTAATGGTACATATCGTATCTAGAACCAGGTTACTCGTGAGTTAGGAGAAGAAAGTTGATCCAGGTTCATGTCAGTGAAGGAACCAGGTTATTGTCCGTGACGGGGAAGCAGTGATTCCCTCTTGAGGTTAGACGCACCTGTAGAAACTATTAAAAGAAAAAAATAATCACTTCCCTCTCCAGCCACTCCACTGCCACTCCTATTCCAGTTAAAGTAGTCTCCTTGTTATTAACTGATGAGGATGCACGTGGTTTCACTCACATGTGGAATAATATATGTCACAAGGGGAGTGGGGGGAACCAGGGGAGAAATTACTGACTTCTTTATATAAGGCAAAGCTCTTCGGTCTTACCCTTCATAAAACAAGGTTCAGGTCGTTGCTACAGCAAATCTCGAGCATGGCTCTGTGGCGTGTGTTGCTGCTAGCGTGCTTAGCTACCAGCAGTTCGGTGGCATTACCAGCGGCGAGCGTAGAGCCCGCAGCGTCTCCGTCCGGTAACACCCAGGAAGCTCGAGGGCTTCAGCAGCAAAGTCGAAATGCGATCCAAACAGGTGACGATCTTATGGACAGCATCTACAGTGACTGTCTCAGGAAAGATTCGGTTTCTTGCGTGAAATATAAGCTGTTTTCATTTGTGGACAAGGTGATGGGTAGCAAAGAGACTTTCACGTTGACAGATGGTGTCACTGTTGTCAAGAATGCAGGATCACCACCAGAAATATCTGGAGAAGGTGCTCCAAGAGCCATAGCTGAAGGAGATGAAGAAGCCAGCAAAGATTTTGAAAGTATGATTGTAAACAGAGTTGAAAGATTTCTGAAAACACACACCCTGAAGGTAGACCTGAAGGGAAATGAAGTGTTGAACGCCGTCACATCTGCAGGAAGGGCTCTTGGTGACGTCGCTGATACACTCGGACTAACGGAAGAAGATGAAGACGAATCTGAGAATGGCCGTGACGTCAGTGAAGAGAGAAGAAGGAAGAAAAGTAAGTAACAAAGAATTAGACTTGTAATTTGAGTATATCAAATCTAAAACTTCTTGACGATGGTGAAGAGTCAATTGAATAAAAATTTACTTGGATATTATCCATCGTCTAGTAAATATAAAACGTACGTTTCATATTTACTAGACGATGGATAATATCCAAGAAAATTTTTATTCAATTGTAATTTGAGAATGGAGATGCGTTAAATTCTTTAAAGACATTACTAACGTAACCTAGTACTTTAAAAACAATCATACATATATAAAGTTTTATTGAAATAGCAAACGAAGAAAGCTATTTTATATAATAATATAAAGTTTAAACAAGAATTATATACAAAACGTAATGTAAATAAAAATACGTCAGCATAAATGTATAAACGTGCACGTATAAATAAGGTTCAAAATGAACATGTCCACATTGTACAGGATTCAGTTTTCAAATTGTGGTATTAAATTTTCTAGTTTGGAAAAATGTATTAAACTTCAATTTAAGCTTCATATAAATCAGACGTTAAAACTCCAAGTAAGAACTGTAATTACATTTTTCAGAATGCTTTCAATGTAGTCCACCCCTTCCAGCACGAAGGGTCATCAAAACGAGTTCAGTGATTTCATATATGAAATATGTGGACAGACTGGCATGGCGTCGACCTTACACATTCATTTTATGCACTGAATGGGAAGAATGACACTTGTTATTTTGTATGGATGTGAAACTCGGCCTGTCATTCTGAGAGAACATGAATTGATGGGAGTTTGAGCAAACGATGTATGGGATAAGGTTCAGACGCCAGGAGGTTTAACGGATCAATGAACAAAATTAGGGTAAGGAGCTCCATAAATTATAACTGCTGTCTACCATTGCTATAATGAATAAACCGAACAGAATGAGATTGGATTGGCAGATAAAATACGGAAGCTCTATTTCAAAATAAGAAATATTACATCGTACAAGACAAAATTCGACTTCATCAGAGCGGAGAGTACCTCACATTACAGCAAGAAAGAAATAATTTCTGTTAAAAAACCTCGAAGGAAGCAACTACTATATAAGAAACCTGGGAGTAGGTTCAGGGATAATATTAAAATAGCTAGTAGGATAGGGTTACTTCAAAGCTTTTGTAACCGCAACAATTTAGTGGAAATTTTTTTCATCAGTTTAATAAATATCAACTGCTCATTGAGACCTAGATTATTTTGTTAGTTGATGAAAAATCTAAAATCTAAATGAAAATTGCAGAAAAAAAACATTAAGATTTTACAGAGGATGGATGAATAATAGCTAAGGAAAAAGAACAGTTTTACAATATCGTATATTATTGATAAAAATGACAATTTCATCAGGTCGCTGGTGTATTGTAGAAATATAAAGTCTAATTTAAAAAAGTTTGTAGATTAAGCAGTCAGTGATATTAGAATGGCATCTTCTCTGCCGCACGTATGTCTGCAAACACAGAGAGGTACCACAAACTCCAAACACAATTTCTAAACACAATTGAATAAAATTTTTGGATATTATCCATCGTCTAGTAAATATAAAACGTAAAACGACGTTAGAGCTAATCCCTATCTCCGGTCCGGAGATAGGGATTAGCTCTATCTAGTGGGACCAACTGTGTAGGAACCTGAAGACGGAGATAGAGTCCCATCTCCGAAACGTCGTTTTACGTTTTATATTTTACTAGACGATGGATAATATCCAAGAAAATTTTTATTCAATTGACTCTTCACCATCGTCAAGAAGTTTTAGATTTCTAAACACAGTTCTACTCTGCTTCGACTAATAATTTATTTCACATTATCTGAACTCTTAACAATTAGCTACATCTCCTCCACGTAGACTCGAGATTTACTCTCCAACAACTAACCGAACCTACTTTTCAGATAAAGTATCTAATCCTATTCATAACACTAAATTAAATAGAAATGAAAAACATCGTGCAATTCACAATAAACCCTATCGAGCAAAGTCCTCATTCAGAAGCTGTTAGTCGCTCAAAAACTAAAAAAAATCCTCGCCTTTTATGCAATCCGACCGATCATTACTGTATTCGTAATCACCAGCAACTAGACTTACCCTGATCCATCTAACAATTTATTACATTGATTTTTAGGTATCTGAAAGCTAAAAATTAACAAATGTTTATCGACAGTTACGTTTATTATTTTGGTTATACAGAAAATGATATAACTTTTAATTAAGAATACAATAAGATGAAGATATCCGTCTTCTGGGTTATACAATAACATTTATATTGACAATTAATAACATTTACCAGATTTGAAAATACTGTGTACATACTGTACCTAAATACCGAGCTTATCAGTTTCAGAGACCATTTTGCTGTAGTAAATGAGGCCTTCTGTATTTGATCTCCTAATATTTCACTGTAGTCTGGTACTTGCATGAAAACCTGCAGAACAAGGTTTGCCGGAAACACGCTGAAGGCTTACTGGGTCACTGTTATGCCACTGAATGGATGCTCCTCGATCCGGAAGTCAACGTTTCAAGGTCCGTTTGACCAATTATCGTGCAAAACTATTCCATTTCGGATAAGCATGAAAAGAGGTTGTTTCAAGCACGAGGAAATCGTTCCTGTTAACTGCACTCTAATCTTAATACTTTCACGAAACTACAGTTGACAGAACGAATCAGCAGTAGAGATACTACGCACAGTAATAACACAAATGTTAACTAAGCTAATTAACAGTAGCTGTATGTACCTAGTACTAAGCAATTTATTCATTATAATTAAAATACATAGGAATTAATGATGTTTAAAATGGAAACAGTACACATAAATTAACTCTGAGAAAGGCAGAAACAAATGATGATTAATTGAATAAAAATTTCCTTGGATATCCATCGTCTAGTAAATATAAAACGTAAAAACGACGTTTCGGAGATGGGACTCTATCTCCGTCTTCAGGTTCCTACACAGTAGAAGTTTTAAAAATGATGATTAAATTAACTGATAAATGAGAGAACATTTAATTGTTAAAATTTATTTAAGAATTTCTCCTTAAAATCCTGCAGGTTAAAATATACAGAGCTATAATTTTTCCAACTGTCTTATAGTCATTTAAAACTTGGAAGACTGAGTGACCTTGAATAAGGCGAAAATAATAGAAAAACTAAACGGCCTATAATTTATATTCTTCAATAAATATTACAATAGCGCACAAAGAAATAAGGATTGGTAAATAACATAGCACGAATTGGAGACAGCTGATAAAAATGCAAAAAATTTTATTAGAAAATCTCGAAGGAAAGAGACCAATCGGAATGTGTGAAAATAATATTAAAATCTACGTTACAGAAATAAAATTTGAGAATTTAAATTGGATTCGAAGGGCTCATAATAGGATATATATTTGGTTGAATATTCTGTACAGTGACCTGTGGCCGCCTAACACCGGGTTTTCGCGACCACAGCCCTTAAATAGTTAGCTGTATTAATACTATTTCCTTACTATATCTGTTACTACTGTACATAACTACCCCAGTTACAGTTCAAAATTTCTGATTTTGCCCTGTCTTTGACATCTTATTTTGCACAAGAAATACCCTACATTCCTGAAGTCCATATCCTTCGTAAAATTTATTATTGTCTTGAAAGCCAATGGCAAGCCAATTATTCCTCAGAGGCCGTTCATCCCCCTCCCAGTTTCCGCACACTTTAATAGTAGCTCATAATAATTAAATTGGCAGTATCTTAAGGTGGTAATAAAACTTCGGTTTTAATACAGGGATGAGAATTTCTTATCTATAAGAGTGACTGTCAGCTTCTTCATAAGGACTCAGTTCCATCGCAGAATAATGCATTTGTACTACAAGCCACTTTGCAGCTATTTCATTAAGTCAGATGTAAACTTTGTTTGGATTAATAGTTTAGCTGACCAGTACAGACCGGAGTTAATATTTTCTGATAGCTTACAATTTCAATGAAAATAGTTTTTGTGTCTGAGAAATAAACTACCACGGAGTTGTCAGTATAGAGTATAAAATAATGAATATTTAAATAAATGTAGCGGATGGAACACAGGATATTCTCGTGTTTTGTAACACTCATCAAATGCTTCAAGGCAAATTCTTGAATTAATAACATGAATCAGGCCACGATAGTCTCCTGATCAATGTTTTTGACGATCTTTATAGAACTTTGCAATTCTCACTCTTCATTAAACTTTAAATAATCTCTACGACTGGTCCAGCGTCGTTAAACAATTTATGAGACAAAGAAGAAAAGTGTGACACTCTATGTCTTTTCAAATATATAATATAATTCAAGTCTATACACAAACTTTAAATTGTTGATGTTAACATCGTAATAACGATGAATAGCGCAAAATATCAATATTAATTTTAAATTTTAACATCAACAATTTAAAGTTTGTGTATAGACTTGAATTATATTATATATTTGAATTTTAAAACACAAACATGACGCATTTAAACTATAAACTCTATGTCTTTTTTTTTTTGTTTTTTCAGAGAAGGTAAAAATGTTACTGCCCCTGTTGCTGGCTTTGAAACTTAAGGCCGCAGCTTTGATTCCCCTCTTCCTGGGTGGCATCGCACTGATTGCTGGAAAAGCCCTGCTGATCGGCAAAATCGCCCTCGTCATTTCGACTATTATCGGCCTAAAGAAGCTCCTATCACAACAGAAGACTGTCACGTACGAGATAGTCAGCCACCCGCATCACACCGGCAGTCACCACGAATCATTTTCGTCAGGCGCCGGTGGATTCACCGGAGACGTCGCTGGTTATGGTGGCAGTGGCGCCGGTGGACACGGCGGTTGGGGAAGGAGTACTCTGGATGCTCAGCAGCTGGCTTACCGCGGTTATCAGAACACTTCTTAGATGTAAGTGAACAGCTTTATTAATTGGTTTTATCGACAAACAAAACACATTTTCATGGGCGTATTAATTAAGAATATGTCGTGGTTATACATACATTACGTACGAATTAATTTACCGTGATCAAATTTAATTTTAAATCGCATTCTTATATCGATGTAACAAATGATATTGGGACTGAAACGAGTTTGTCGATAATCATGGCAGACTAATATAAGTACAATAAATTGTTGTTGGTATCCGAATAAAATTACCGTCCGGATAGTTACACGGTAAGAGTAGACGGAAAATATAAAGAATTTTACCAATGCACGTGTAATTTAAAATTAATGTATCCTGTTTTTCAGGGTAAGCGATAGAAAAGGAAATTCCTAGATTTTAAACAAACCTGATTAAACCTTAAACTTGGTTACTTTTAATTTGTTCATATAGTAACTCGCTTGACTGTATACAGTCTTTGTGAAAACATAATGCTGTATGTTTGCGCCATATTAAGAAACGAAGGTATGGACTAAGATAAAGGATAAATAATAAAGACGGAGTTTTCTGGAATTCTCAAGGTCACCAGTTCGAACACCGGATGTAGTATGAAATAAAGGCTAATGTTTTCAATTAAATGTGTATAATGGCTGCTGTGGGGGACTGCATAATAGAAATATATGTCTATGAACAATCTCTGTGCAATTGTCGCCACACATAGAGAAAAACTGCAAAGTCTTTCAAATATTTTCCGTTGATGTTCTGCATTTCAGTGTTTCGATGTATTCGTTATTTCTTCGGAGTTCGGCGAGAAGGACATCGTAATTTGTATTAACATAGGACTTTCTTACCATTACCAAATGCTTATGGAATGTAATTTTCAATATTATTTTTTACTGAACCATAAAACGAAACTTAATAGACCTCATTATTTATTATTGTTTTTGTGGAATATACTGCACGGGTAGGTTACTACTGAACTTCCCTCGCTTAAAGTTAAGTTTAAAAATGTAAAATTTTTCTTGCAGATAACGTTGTTGTATGAGTTCTGTATGAGACGTGACCGCAGAAGGCATTCATCGGGCGATCCAGGGAGGTCAGACACCGCGAAATTCGGCTCTGACGGCCTACAAGTGCCAACAACAGTACCGAAAATTCTCAGTTATAATGTACAGACAATTTTAATCTAACATAACTTATTGTTGAGCGTATTAATTAAGAATATGTCGTGGTTATACATACATTACGTACGAATTAATTTACCGTGATCAAATTTAATTTTAAATCGCATTCTTATATCGATGTAACAAATGATATTGGGACTGAAACGAGTTTGTCGATAATCATGGCAGACTAATATAAGTACAATAAATTGTTGTTGGTATCCGAATAAAATTACCGTCCGGATAGTTACACGGTAAGAGTAGACGGAAAATATAAAGAATTTTACCAATGCACGTGTAATTTAAAATTAATGTATCCTGTTTTTCAGGGTAAGCGATAGAAAAGGAAATTCCTAGATTTTAAACAAACCTGATTAAACCTTAAACTTGGTTACTTTTAATTTGTTCATATAGTAACTCGCTTGACTGTATACAGTCTTTGTGAAAACATAATGCTGTATGTTTGCGCCATATTAAGAAACGAAGGTATGGACTAAGATAAAGGATAAATAATAAAGACGGAGTTTTCTGGAATTCTCAAGGTCACCAGTTCGAACACCGGATGTAGTATGAAATAAAGGCTAATGTTTTCAATTAAATGTGTATAATGGCTGCTGTGGGGGACTGCATAATAGAAATATATGTCTATGAACAATCTCTGTGCAATTGTCGCCACACATAGAGAAAAACTGCAAAGTCTTTCAAATATTTTCCGTTGATGTTCTGCATTTCAGTGTTTCGATGTATTCGTTATTTCTTCGGAGTTCGGCGAGAAGGACATCGTAATTTGTATTAACATAGGACTTTCTTACCATTACCAAATGCTTATGGAATGTAATTTTCAATATTATTTTTTACTGAACCATAAAACGAAACTTAATAGACCTCATTATTTATTATTGTTTTTGTGGAATATACTGCACGGGTAGGTTACTACTGAACTTCCCTCGCTTAAAGTTAAGTTTAAAAATGTAAAATTTTTCTTGCAGATAACGTTGTTGTATGAGTTCTGTATGAGACGTGACCGCAGAAGGCATTCATCGGGCGATCCAGGGAGGTCAGACACCGCGAAATTCGGCTCTGACGGCCTACAAGTGCCAACAACAGTACCGAAAATTCTCAGTTATAATGTACAGACAATTTTAATCTAACATAACTTATTGTTGAATATTGTTTAGTAATATTTATTAGTATTATCTAAAACTGACAAGACTTACGTTGATACTCAACATCACGCCATGAAACCAAACTGACAAGAGACTCCGACCAGTGCACTAAAATGACAACATTAGCGACTCTACTAGACGACAAACATGTGTTGGACCATTTCTTACAATTACGATACATTACAAAATTGTATTGAAGCAAAATCCACGCAACGATTCTTGCACTGTTATGATACTAATGTAAAAGTTAGAAATCACATTCAGAATTTCAATAATTTAACACTAGTAGGACATATGAAACGTCATAGATGAAGTAATGTACGATCGGGGTTCGAATCCCGGTAGGAGTTCCGCGGTATTTGGTGTGCAAAGAGGAAAATTTTAAATTCTGAAACTATTTTAACTTATGGATCGAAGGTGTATTATGAATCTCCCACATGTTGGCTATGATCACAGTACTTATTAATTTGTACAACAGAATTTTATACGGAAAAGTTTCAAATAAATCACATGTAAAAGAGCTCTGTCATAATTCTAGTCTGGGTAATTTCCTCAACTTCGATGTTTTTACTAAGATAAATACCAATGAGTTACCAGTTTCAAAATCAAATTACATAGAAATAGAGCGATTCATGTTGACACAGACCACGAAAGTATGTTTTTGTGTTAGTAAAAATGAAAACAAAGACCAATGAAGTGTACGCTGACGACCAGTATTACAGTCCCCAAACACCAATAGTGTGCGTGGGGAGGACAACATAAACGGACCAGCAAAATGAACACGATGACCAGTTGAAAAATCTACGTACAGACTTCACGGAAAATGCCAAAGATTGTACCTCACATTTATATTTTTATATTCTTAATTTGTTGTGAATTATACATACATTACTATGCATTAAACTATACGTTAAAAGAGGCCATTTACTAAATGTAATGTAACATGTAAAATATGTTACACTTTTTCAGATTGCTACAATATTGTGAGATATTGAACATGTTAATATTCTACAGCGAAGACTGTTGGAGTGTTCACTAACAAGACATGATATTAAGACGAAGACTACGTACCAAATATGAAGCTACAGTAGACATGTTAGACAATTAATAGTTTAAGTAATTTTATATATTGTTTTATACATGTTTTTATTACAGAAATAAAATATATTTGTTATGTGTTTAATATTAACAGATCTGTCGATTCTCGATAGCATTATTTCGAATAACAGAGAACGGTTATGGGTCATAATAAGTCGGGGTTGTTGAAGATTACCATTCAAATCCATCTGGTTTCCAGATTTTGAATGAATGGATATAAACCTCCAGGCCTCCTATATCCCTTCATGATGTGGTGTTTACGTTCATAAATAACAAATTTAATTATACCTAATTTGGGCCCGTATTTTATCCACAAAACAAATGTTTCGAAAAACCACTGATACATAAAAATTTTCTTCTCATTTTATATTACCCAAAGATAAATCAACACTGTATAAAGATTAAATCATAGTGCATATAAGACTTCATTTTTAAAATACGTATACTTTTTTAAAAATTATAAAAGAAGTGCCGATTACATAATAAAATTAAAGTTCGCCGAAATATGGAGTTAATTAAACGAACACGGCCTTTTAACATATTATTGTCACTACATTTTCCTGATAAGTTTTCCTCGAAATATTTATGTGATTTTCTCGAATGTTCAGTCCATTAACACTTCCTTATTTTCAGTATCTTAAAAACACTGGGTAATTTGTATGTAGTTTTAACATTTAGTTAATCCCATTTAGAATTCTGTTTCAAATATAGACTCCACCTTAGTCTCTGAAACTAAGGGAGGAGCGTAGACTGAGGGCGTTTCAGAAGAGAATATTTTGACCCTAGAGGAGCTTCATAAGTTGTAGTTCTCGTCAAATATAATTAGACTGATGAGATCAAGAGAGATGAGATGAGCAGGGCATGTAGCCCGCACGGGATAGAAAAGGAACAAATACATAGTTTTGGTGGGCAAACCAGAAGGAAAGAGTAGCTGAGCGACTATTAGCTTCTCAGGAATAACTCGGCTCCATGAAGTAAGAAAGTAAGTATATAGACTTCATTTAAGTGCATACATAAATGCGCAGATCCTTAACCTTCTCTCTTTCTCGACACACATATATACACCACTGACGTTGCAGTGTTAAAAGGGAAAATGTACTCTCTCATATACAGGTGGGAAGTAAGTAGACATTGAGAACTGGTTATAACCTCGATATTTTCAATGTAGGGCGATTATTTATACGAAAACATAGCTGACTTCGTATTACGTACAGGTTAAATTTTAATCAGGTAATCCAGCTTAGTGTGGTTTATTGACTAATTTCGTTAATATAGCCCACACTCGATAATAAATACGACTAAATTCTATAATTTTAGAACATCGTTAATACGTGTGCGTACCATCGGACCAAATTAAAATAACCTCAAATTTCTGACATTATTTTACCCCTAAGAGCCAACTGTATGTTTCACCTGCTTTAAAGTCAATAACTCCAAATCCTGTGCTTATGTTTTTCGTATGTTTCTCAGTATAAACAGCGACTGTTTCCCTTAACGAAGGTATAATATTAGTTGTGTTGATGTCTGTAAAATTTTATAAGTCGAGATTGATGTTTGTTGTGCAAATATGGAGTTTATATTTGTAGAACTACTATTATATACGTTACTTATCTAATTTCCTGTATAATTTCCTGCAGCGTATGTTAAGATAACTGACTGTAAAAGTGTAGTGAAGTCAGTTGCTTTGATTTCAGAGATAATACAGCTTACGAGTAACTCGCGCATTCATAATCGGTACAGAATCCTACAGAATACAGAAACATGTTAAATGGTAAATCATATAATAGACAAGTGAGTAATTTATAGTCTAGGTGGTGACACTGGGAAGAAGACAAAGGAAAAATGATGAAATAAAGTCAGAGGGGAAGGAATAAATATCAAAAAGAAAGAAGGAAAATGAAAGAAATGAGGAAAGAGAGATTTTAAAAATAATGTATTTTGCTTCTACAGCTCATGTTACACAAAAATCGACATGTGCTGATAATATAGGCGGTCACCTGCACTTTCACAACAACCTGAGTAACTTTTCATAATTTTCCAATACTTCAGACAAATTGTAATATTTAAAAATAAATTTCCACCGATGAATTTAAAAAAACAAGTCTAACGGAAACAATGTGTTGAGGTCGTTGCTTTACGCACGGGGAATCACAGCACGTCAGGGCTGACAGAGGCGCTGTGACGTTCTGGCGGTGACTATTCAAACTATTTCAAGACACAGTGAATTACACGTAGTTTATTGTGTCACCGATTGGAGGCGCCTGTAACGATAGCACACACAAAACAGGAATATCGATGATGAACCAATTTGCGTGTGCGTATTATACGAATTCTAATCACGGAAGATAAGGCATCGCCTTTTGCTAACTGTAACCCGGAAATATAAAATTTGTGGCGCCACAGCGGCTGCAGCAGAGCACTTCCTCGTAGCTTCCGGTCCGCCGTCCGGGCAGCTCCGAGCCGATGGTTAATAAAAACTACTAATATTGCAACTTTGGAATTCTAATTTCAGGCATTATTTTCAAATGTCTTAGACACTTGTTTTCCAAGTCACTTTATTTTTGTATCACTATTTTATAGTTTATAGTTCTTCTCTAACATTTCCATTGTGTTTATGATTATCGTTCTGTAACTGAGACCGCTCTGAGAAAGCGTATATTTTCTGTCTTCCGGATCCAAATAAAACAATAAACCTGATGACAACTTTTTATTGTTTGTTATTCGCAGACATTGAGCTATTAGCCTGTTCCGATTACATCAATATTTCATAATTACATCGGACGCCCTTGGTTCTTATACCTTCAATTTATGTTCATAGAGCAGATTAATACGACTCTTAAAGCGAGGGTTATAACGGCCTCATATGGGACGGAATAAGGCAGTGTATCTTCCTACAAGCTTCAGTGTAGACACTGTCCCATCTTTAATCGAAATAAGAACTATTTTGGATTCGGAACTCGAGGACAGGGATAAAAACATTAAATTCATCCTTTATTTTCCTACTTACTTAAATATTCCCTTTATCAATTATTTATTCTCTTCCTGTATTCTTTTCTCCCGTTTCTTTCTTCAATCACATTGCAATGTGTAAGAAATTTTCAGTGCTTTTAAAAACGGTTGCATCTTAGTACAGTTTTCCATTAAGGAAATGTATAATGTGAGTATGTAAGACAAGTATTTTTGTGCGCCTCGAAACACATCGCTTATACCAAAGTAGAACATAAATTGAAAGTGTTTAAATACAAAAAACGTTTTGAAAATGTATAGAAAAAATGAATGAGCAAAGGAAGACATTATCTTAAATGCAGAGGGGTTTGTTAAAGGTTCGAATGGGATATAATTCATTTATTAATTTTCTTGTGTCAATCCAGGAAAAGATATAACTGGATGATAAAATTATAATATAATGTAGATGTAAGTAACTGAAAGGATAAGTAGGTGGGCTGTGAGCCTGAAGATGACTGATTTCTGGTTTGTTGCGCCGTGTAATCTGGTAGAAGTTTACCGACGTATTAGAGGTTCTTGCTACCAACATTATCGCCCTGCATCGGCAAACTTCTACCAGACTACACGGCGCAACAAACCAGAAGACAGCCATCTTCTAACTGCAGCAAGTAGGGTCCCCCTAGATAAGTGTTCAAGTGGTCTAGACCAGTGGTATTCAACCTTTTTTGTTCGCGTACCCCCAGATATAATTTCTCTTCAACTTTGTACCCCCAAAGTTGTTGGTGTATAATTCAAGTTATACGTAGTATATAATCTACATCTAAAATAAATTAAATAAATTACATTACTGATTATTCAGTGTTTATCATAAAATAATATTTTATTTTTTTTAAATTTCACGTACCCCCTAATATGTCTTCGCGCACTCCCGGGGATTCGCGTACCCCAGGTTGAATACCACCGGTCTAGAGGTCACTGCCTTTTAAGAAACCATAGATTTATAGTCATATCCTCAACACCCTATGCCCTTAATAAGTTGAATTCAATACATATTCTTATATATCTTTAAGATATACTTTAGTATTATCTTCCAGTCTGCGCTGAAGTGTCACAAATGATCCGTTGTCTCCACGTTTTCCGACTAAAATGTTGTTGGTATTTCTACTCAATGAAATTGTGTGTAGGAAATTCGTTCAGGATCGGACTTTGGTATTTGCGTTGTCGGGCTGTCGGCTCAGTGCTACTCCCTCAGAAATTCTCTCGTCATAGACTCATGTGGGTTACTTAGCTCCAGTTACCTACTGCCACAGTTTCTATGGCGACCATGTTCCGGACTGCCATGCCTTTAGCATACCTTTCGTATTACTATTATCTGTCATTATCAATTTCTCTCTCTATTTATCAGGCTTTGTCTTCCCGACCAACAAAATCTGATTCGCTGCTGTTATCCGCATATACGTCCATTGAAAGTGATTATTTTATTACACGAAATATTGTAATAGTTTCCTTCACGGTGACGTTCAATACTTTTCACGATGCGCACGAGATATATCGTATAAAATCACCGGCCCTTCTAGTTTGGATTTATTTGATGTTTGATATCGCTAAACGAAATCTCCCTCAAAATTTCTAAACTACCTGAGCTACTGATGGTACTTTATTTTCAAAATTTAAAGGTAGGATTTACACATAGGTTAATAAAAGGCTGCATTACAAAAATAAAATATATTTGTTTCTTAGCGAAATGTGTATGAAGCGAATGGATAAGTCCGTGTTTGTACGTCTGTACCTCATAGGAAAAATAATTAGGACGTAATGAACATAAATCTATTCAAATTTTATTCGTGAGATTACGATAAACGAAGAGAGACAATTTTTATTCTGACTTGTAACTTTCATATACTGCTTTTATTAAGAAGGATGAGATAAGTAGAGCATGTAGAATGCGTGGGACGATACTAAAATGGGAACAGGATTTTGGTAGAAAACCTTAAATGGAAAGACATAGGTGTAGATGGGAGGATAATATTTTTAAATGGATCATATAAAAATGGGATGTGAGGATGTCGACTGGATTCATCTCTGACTCTTGTGGACACACTTCACAAAGACACAAGGAAATAAAGTCCGCGGTTTTTATTAGGG